AACTGAAGAGCTCACCAAGTCTTCTTAATCATTCCATGTCGAGGCGAAACGCGGAAAAAAGTTACTCCAGTGAAAGATCGAGTACTGAAAGAGAGACGAAAATAGCTTGCCATTGGAAAAGAAAAGAGAAGAACAGCTTGCCATTAGTACACCATATTCTCGCGTTGGATCTAAGAGACCCGAGCCAATGGATGAAAGCGCATCGTCAAAGCGTGGTGTTGGTTGCGGGACGAACATGCGCTGCTTTGCTGCGAAATGAGGACGAGGACCCACACGGCAGTGGCACATGTCCAAGACGCGAGAATTTGTGCGAAAACTCAAGCCAAGAGCAGCGTTGTGACTTGATCGAACCACCAACACAAAGGCTTCATTCCTCCTTCCAACAACCAAAGCCTTGAATAAAAACTTCCAAGCACAACTGCGAAACAATGTGAGGGTCCACGAATCAGAGTCATTAGCAAACTCCAGCTAACATACCACTCGATGCCGACAGACCACCAACAGCGGGAAAATCTTTATTTTTTGTCCACCACCTCTACTTTCTTGTTGATAACTAATCGTTCAATAATAAGCCGGATCGACTAGTTAAAGCTCCAGCTGCTGCTTCCCTGTTGTTTCTAAAGACAGAGCCAGGACGACATTTAAGAAACATGAAGGAAAAGCATAGAAAGGAAACTTACCACTGGCCTGTCTTTCGGTGCCTCGATCGTGTTTTTGGATCCATTTAGCTCGCCTCTTCTTCCTGGAGCAACGCCAAAGGAAAGCCGACGCTTGCAGCAGAGTGTAGCAGTGGCGCAGCAGTGGCCGTGAGGTTGATGTGTGCGCTTCCCTCGTTTCAGTAAAGAGCACGGCTCTTCCGAGTCTACAGCTTTGGTGAGGTCTTGATTGAAAGGCTCGTAGGAGCAGCTCCATAGTCAGATAGACGTGGCCACTTCCTTGCAGCATTGCGAAATCTATCAGTCTCAACTCCGTGCAGGCTTTAGCTCTCCATTCGCTTCGCTTGGCAGGAGCAGGAGCACACAAGAGTTGTTCACATTCAGGTTCCTGCTCGAAAAAGAAACTGTGAGTCACAAGATCGAAAGAAAGACAAAAGAAAGTAGTCACTACTTACATTCCTGCTTGCTGCTGCTGCCGCTGGAATCGTAGTGAACAAAAGATCTCATCGCTTCCTATCGATGCCAAGATGAATAACAGGAGAGCGAGGACAGTCCTGGCGCTCTTGAGCTGCTGCTTCTGCCTCTCACTCGCTCAGCAGCCGGGCCGATTCAACATTGTTCTCCAGAATGCCGGCATTTCCTCCATGCACACCGCCGTCACTCACTATGGTAACGTCATCTTCCTCGACCGCACCAACATTGGGCCTTCGGCAATCAACCTGGTCGGAAACTGCCGAGATAATCCAGCAGACATGATGACCACTCACGACTGCACCGCTCACTCGGTCATCTACGATCCATCCTCTAACACGGTACGCCCCGTTTTCATATACTCGGACACCTGGTGTAGCTCCGGCCAGTTCCTTCCCAATGGAACTCTCATGCAAACCGGGGGGAGTGCCGACGGTGGTAGCATCATCCGCTACTTCACTCCCTGCTCCAGCGGTTCCTGGTGCAACTGGATGGAGTCGAGCACCAACTTGCAATCCTCAAGGTGGTACGCGAGCAACCAGATCCTCCCCGACGGACGAATTATCGTTGTTGGCGGCCGCGGAGTCTACAACTACGAGTTCCAGCCGACTGGCGGCCAGTTCTATCTCCAAGTTCCTCAAGGATACGGCCGACTTCCAGGATGACAACTTGTATCCATACCTCCACCTCCTC